GGTTGCAGAAGAGCTAAGAGTCACATTTTCAAAAGCACTTAGATTGCAGCTGTTGCCATCAGCGCACAGAGCAGAGCACCTTTGAAAACCTATCCCTCACAATTGTGGGTGCTAAGCTATTTTGAACTGTCTGGCACTTAGGACCAATTCTAACAGAGACTTAAGCACCTGAGCAATTTTATTCATGAGTCAGCTCAGTAAAGTTAACAAGACAACTTGCGCTGAAATTACCGGAAGTTTGGGCCCCTAGTGTGGTCTCAGTAATAGGTAAAGTGCAATGGGGCATATTATATGCAACTCTTCGTTCACTAAATACCTTCAAATTATTATTTTGTACTTCCATAGCATCTGTAGGCCCCAAGAGAGATCAGGGCTCTGCTGAGCTAGGCACAGTATAAACACTTAAAAGCCAAGTAAATGATTAGAAGGAGACACAGAGAGGAGAGAGAATTTGGCCAACATCACACAGTAGAGCAATAGTAAAACTAAGAATAGAGCCACTGTTTCTTGATTTCCAGGCCATTGCCCCATTCACTGCACTGCATCACTGTACATAGCTCAGAGACTTTTCTGAGGACTCAAAACTGATGCTTAAAAAACTCCTCTACTAAAATATTTACAGGTAAAATACTAAACATGAGGTTGTTTTGTCCCCATAGGATGCGCTTCTCATGCTTAGACTCACAACCTACAAGTACAACAACCTACTCACGTGGATCGCAGTACAGGATCAGAGCTTAAAACAGTTCAACCTCCAAGGAACATTTTTGAGGCAGCCAAAAATACAGCTCAGAATAAGATGGCTCTCATCTTACAGGCACAGGGGTTGCAACATCATTCCTACTGGCAACAGAACCATACCGTATGGAGCCCCAACCTGTAAAAGCTCAGAGCCCAAAACCAGCGTTCCAAATTTAACTAAAAAGTAGCAACAATTAAGTGATGGCAATACTATTAACTCAGTTGGGGGCTTAAAAACAGCATTTAAATTTATACCATAACTTCACATTTTTCTTTTAAAGTCAAGACATCAATCCAAGACAGGTCATGGAACTCGCTACATTTGCCAACAGGTTCTTGGGAAGGGATGGATTTGTGCAGTTTTCTGGAAACAATGGACAGTGATGCCAAATAAACTAACTTGGAGAAGCATACACTTTCATAAGCAGTAGCTTACTTCATCAGATATAAGCTTATTAAGCCATTGCATACAAAAGCACATTTCTCTTTAAATTGGCATATAAGGTGTTATTCTGTCCTGCCTTCTGTTGAACTTCAGATTAACATGGCTAGCTACATTTCTCTGGAAATGTAACAGTTTAATAGGAACACACAGAGTGTGTGCACAGGCAGGATGATTTTTTGGGAGCTTTGGGTAGTATTACCTGTCACAAAAGTGTGTCAGTAATGGCCACAATGGATAAACTTCTGGTTTTATTAAAAACAACTTAAAACACAATTGCTTGTGTTTTGTTCTAGCCTTTTATTAGTTGCGATTAAGGAGATACAGTAGCCCTGTTTACACAGCTCTAACAAGTCAGGACCTGCAGTACATTATTGGCTTGAGGCCCCCCAACTTGCACTCCATTCTCAACAAAAGCAATCTGAAGTTGAAAACATCCCCTGTAGGAAATGCACACATCCCTGCTTACACAAGAACAGAAAGCAGTAATAACTTTAGGTACTCTTAGTTGCAAGTTCAACTTACAAAGGTCAGCCCTGACTTGTCATTGCTCTCAGCATGTTCACGATGAGTTAAGAGTGCTTCATTGAGGACTCATACTTTTAACTTGACAAGGGACATAGGTGAGCATGTTACACTTCACTGTTATTCATAGCTCAGACTCTACAGGGATAAAATGAGAGCTGCTCGCTGTTTAACATGCATTCAAAGCATTGCCAATCTAAAATGGCTGATTGGTAATACTTTAATTGCAGTTTCATGGAAACAAATTGCTATTTAATTGCAGAAAGCTTTTCTGTGGCTTAGCTGGACTGACAATAGATACGCACCTGGAACTACAATAACTATCAGTAGTAACAGTGGCTATCTGGTACTTCATGTCCTGTAGTCTCAGGTAGGGAAACCTGCCCAAGAGCACAACCACTTACAGATAATTTCACAGTTAAGTACATAAAAGGTGGAAGAGGGGGAGGGGAGGCAGAAGAAGAGATAGTGAGAGAGCACACACCAATGGATGCCCCAATCTCAAATCTTATATTTTATTTGAATAGAGCTCTTTCTAATACAGAAATACATCCCTTTGCCAGGCTCTGATATACAACTCTTGGACAGTGGAGAGTATGATCTAATCTGAAACTAAAATCATCCTTTTTTAAAAACCATAAATGTAATGGATATACACTCATATTATATTGTAATCTGAAACAATTTATTTTTTTTGTATTTAGCCTAAAAACAGTTGATGCAAATTTTATCAACGTTAACTAATAGGTCAAATGGGAGACATCTCACTGCATTTAATATTCTAAAGATGTTACTTAATTTCGTAGGCTTCATTTGCAACTTTTCATTTTATATTTCATAAGATACTGCATAACCTGTTAAAATATAACCTGTTAAAATATTTAAAGATAAATCATGAAGGACTGGAAAGACAGTATCTTGTGGCAAACAGAATTTGGTTTGGAAAGGCTTAATGTCCCAGTGCCTGCCGGGATGAGTAAATCTTATAACTAGACAGCTGGATAGGTAAAAACATTAAACCCACTTACAGGGCAATCTTTTTACAAAATTGTTTCATTAATAAGAGTGACAATTTATATGATTGAGACATTTATATGCAAGATAAACAGAACATATTATCTGAGTTCTCTAGGATGATTTCAGATTAGTAGCATTTCCCTTTTTTTTTTTTTTTTTGTAACTGCTTTCATTTCTGAAAGTGCAGCAGCTCTTACTGGATGACATATTTGTATGACTTTTCAAAAATGCTAAACATGGAACATGCATTTCACAGTATCAGTGTAGCATATCCATGTGATAGAAGATGAACATGTGCATGTTTTTCCTTATCCTGAAAGAATAACTAAAGAAGAAAGAAACCCACACAACACACAAGTCATTTCTCATATAAGGACAAATCTAAATGCTTCCAGGAGCCTACTATCCACACCTAACATTCCTGTTTTGTTGTCTGAAATGCCTCTGGTTTCAAGAAAGTGTTTTACCTAAAGCAAGAATACGACTTAAATATGTTCTATTGTATATTCATAGCTCCATTAGTCTTCCTCCAATTTAGCACATCAAAGCAAAGGCTTCATCACTTGCATGTGGATTATGCTAACATGAGTGACATTTGTAATCTTATAGGTCTGCAACTTAAGAAATGCTTTTAAAGCTTGCTATTAAATAGGTAGCTGTGCTTTACGAACCAGTCATATAATAGTTTATTTAAAGCTTTTAATGAACTTCAACCTCTACATCACTAAATGCCATACTATATTACTTACTAAAAGTTATTAACCATCTTCTTAGCACTTCTAGGTTATATTGGACCACTGAAAAGCTGTACATGTTAGATTTAAACGCTGTACCATGACTGCTTATATCAAAAGAATTAAAAAAAAAATTCTACCATCTCACTAATACTTGAATTCTTGCAGTACTTTTTCAAAGAAATTCAAGCAGCACAATTTGCAGTACTACCTAAAGACTTAAGCTATTTAATCCAGCATTAAGAGCATTTTCTAAAACCATAATTGTTTTTAAAAAATGGTAGTATCTAAGTCATCTTTAAGAAAGATTTTTATTACCAAGCACTTTAGACAGTCATTCCTTTGCCTTTTGAGTCTAATAGTATATGGTAAACCAGCTTCTCTTTTCCCAAAGAAATATCTTATTTTTCCAAGCACTGAAGTGCTAAAAGCAGAAAAAAAAAAAAAAACCAACAGACCTCAGACATAACAGAGGTCAAGAAGTAAAGATATGAAGAGAATTTGGCTGCTGGTTGTTTAGATACGCAAAAAGCTGACTTCAGTTGATATCACCTGGCATCGCTAAAAACAATGCATCAGGGCTTGCTTTGTAACCAGGTAAGGTAAATGACTTCCTTAAAACAGACATAATAAAATAAACATTGCAAATATAAATAATATACATCATATTTATTAGCCTATGATAAAAACTATGGTGTTTGGAAATGTTTAATTTGTTCTTCAAAGCCACTGTCTAAACCTGTGTGTTGTAGTGCTCTGGTTTAGGGCATGATAGGTTCATTTTAATGGTCTTTTCACAACCAATCTAACAGAAGTTGTTTTCTGATGCTCTGTTCCAATTACCAATCAACATTGGGAGGAAGGAGGGACAAACATACCCTAGATGAAATCTCTAATTTTGAAAAGAGGATAAAAAAAAAAAAAAAAAAAAAAAAAAAGAGAGAGAGAAAGAAAAAAAAAAGTCACACTTAAGATGGCATTGATGCCTACAAAATAGCCAGGAAAAGGTGTTTTCTTCTACTCTTATGATCACCAGTGGTAAAGAGACCCTTAGTTTCTTATTATAGCTAACCTGATTTGTTACAAGCACTTAAGATGCAGAATGAACTACTGCATCTCCTTATAGAATACCCACTTCAGAAGTGTTTAACAGAGCACATATCCCTTTGCTGCAAGTGTTCCCCTTGATTTTACTTAAGTATCTAGTCTTTCCTCGTGAAGAGACTGCATGAAGGGAGTCCATGGTTACTTTTGAACAAAGGTTCATTACAACATGGCTGAACTATAGTAGTATACTTGCTGTTTTCAGAATTAATATTTTGAACCTAAAAGAAATAGCCGTTTTGAAGAATTACTCTGTACTTCTGCCAAAAGTGACATGGTTAAGTAGTTTGACAGATTCCTTATTGGTATAAAGCTAAAAAGAAAGCTAGTTTTATAGTTTATTTACAATTAAAACAACAGTTACATTAGGTGGAGTTTCAGAGTAAGATTTAGAACGTTATGTAAAAAAAGCAAAAGCTTTTAAAACCCAAACTCAATTCAATGTTTTCGTTTTAAGTTTTTATTATTTAAATACACCATACTAGAGCAAATGTCTCTGAAAATATCACAAATAAAAGATTTTTCTTCATTCAGCAAATTAGAAGTAGGTGAAAGTTTCTACACAGTAGCTGCTATGAGCCTGACTTTTTTTCCTCCTTTTTTGCCTTTTTTTTTTTTTTGCCGTGGGAAGTAGCAACATTAGGACAAAAACACTTACATGCATACATACATTGTATTTTACAGAGATACAATAAAAGTGTTTGTGATAGAATATCACAAAAGCCACATCTTTCCTTTATCTCATGTTCAGTTTGATTGAAACACATTTCCTTACAACACTTAAATATACAAAGAGCAAATAGAATGTTGTTAAGGTAAAACACAGGGTACAAACTCCGGCCAGTGCCCTGCTAATTGTTAATGAGGGTAGAAAGCAGTTTTCAATGCTTCTTTTAATTAGCTTCATTAGTCATTTTCCCCACCCACCCTCCCCCCAAAAGATGTCCTCTGGTGGATCTTTTTTTTCATTTTCTCTACGGTCTCCTATTAGCCCAGGTTCATGGAGTCCTTAATGTTCATATTCAGTCATTTTAATACACCAATAAATGTGGAAAGGGCAATCAAGAATAAAGAAGGTGCAATGGCATGGAGCTGGCATTGATGCTAGCTACAAAAGGTGACTTGTCTACTGGAGACATGGGATCCATCTGTGATGAACAAAATTTGAGATGAAGGCACACATTCTGCATTACTCTGACCTTTTAGCAGACCTGTAAGAAATAAAAATGGGCATCTTAGCTAAAAACACTAAATTTGAGATATGAAACACCAACATGACTACTTTTGCCACTGTCTTATTCACTAATCTCTTTTTTATTAGATTACTTGCCAATTGTGACTTGATTAAGGCTTCCTATGCTATTCAACATAGTGCTTATGTTCAAATTCTGAAGAGCCAATAACAAATATTTTCTGCAATTTTTTTTAACTAGAAGACAACAATGACTATAAGCACACTTTTAGACAGTTTCTAGAAGTCCTGCTGTGAATAAGGTGGTTTTCTGGGCCCCTTTTGAAAGGGATGAAATGTTATGCCATGCCTTTGAAGCAGCTAGTAATATGATCTTATAATTGGAAGAAATAGTGTGTAAAGCAAATAAGAAGTACAGCCAATATCCTCCCAAGGCAGCTTTGGTTAATATACTGCATAGCACAAGGACTAAATATAGATATTTTTAGGATTTTTCTCTCCATTTAAAATTCCTCATCTGCTATGTTAGCTAATGTTACATAAACATTTTAATATATGAAGTCAAACATGTGCTTTCACACTGGTGTTAATGAATTGTGATAATTAAAAGCGCCTAACTCGAAAAAAATCTAACTTTCATGGATAAGGTAGAAATGATCATCCACTGTCTTCAAATACAATCTGTTTGCAATTACCAAAATGAAATAATATATATTAGATTTTTATGGGTTTTAAATGACATTTTGAGCTTCCCGGGAAGTTCTCTCTTCACCCTTTTGCTAAGTTACTAAAAGCCTGAGGTCTATTAGTAACTGCAACCCCCCACTTCCAAGCTAATTAAAGTGGTGGAGGCTTGGAGGTTTAATTCCCCAGAGCTGAAGCTCAGTGTGAGAAAGGTAATTTGTCTGTCCAGAACAAAGATTAGGGAGCAGCCAGCAAGCATATTTAATAAATGAGCATCAAATATCCTCTGGTATGGACGCAGACAACACCAATTATGTAACTACAAGGGAATTGGTGAGTGATATGTAAACTAGAAGTTGAGGGGGGGCTAAATCTTGTCTAAAAGATAGAATAGCAGGGCATAATCTAACTCATTCTTTATTTAAAAGTGTAGGATCTGAAGATAAGCAAGTGCTCTGAACACTCCCCACGAGTGGAAAATGTGCACATTTTTGGAGATGGAAAACCATAAGCAAGCAAAGACCAGTGAAAACACAGACTGCCAGAAATAGCATGTTAGGTACGGCCTCTAAATGTTCTAGAGATAGGACAACACATCTTATTTTAAACATGGCCCCCAGGACTTTATGACCCAACACTCTAAGGATGTAAACTTAACTTGCAAATAGCAGACCTTAAAGACTTGAAATTGTTTTAACCAACATATGTTGGTTAAGATCAAGTGATGAAGAGTTATAACTAGAAAGCTATGGACACAACTTAAGGTAAAAGGCAGGAAGAGTCAATACCACTATACATGTGCTTTTTTCCATGACAAGCAGCTTTTTGAATATGTTAGCCTGCTCACCTTATTAGGCTCATGCCAAACTAGCATGAACTCTAGCCTTTCATTTGGGAACTATATTGACTAACACAGTAGTTAGGTGACTCCATAGCTGTCAGACATGACTTCGTAAGTACAACAAAGAAAACGATAGAAGATGGAAACTGGCTCTTCAACCTCCTAATAAAAACAAGTTATGAACAACTGATCCATATTCTCCAATGCCTATGATTTCTAGAAAAATGAAAGAGCCAAAGACTGATTGGTCCTTAATGCTTAATAAAGGGCATTGTAATTATTGAATAACACTGTCCAAGTGAAAGCATGTTTTTAATTAGTAACCCTAAACATAGAGCTTTCTGGAAATTATTTCTGATGTGTACATATACAAGGAAAAAAAGAAAGCCACCCACAATCACGGACAGTATCTGATGTTACTTCTTTTTGACATCTGCCTCTTTAGTTTCCAAGCCACCAGCTCACTTCCTGAAATACATTTCAGTTTTCAAAGTTAACACTCCTCCCCAGTTCCCTGTGTGAAACCTGGTATAAAAGACTTGTACTGTTTGCAAGAAAGATACTATAAAAAGGATCATAATTGTAATCTTTTTCTAATTCTCTCTTTGCCTTGGTCATCATAAACTGTAGCAACATGGCTATTGGCCAGTGATAGAGTTAATAAGACCCTCTTATTACATGTTCCTCTCTATTTAACTCCTAGTAGGATAGCTGCAATTTTGACACATAAGCCTATTTCAATTTTACTTCTCTTTTCTGAATGCCTCACCATGTCTACTGTCATTATTGTAACTAAATCATTGTTATGATTTGCTCAGGCGCAGTAAGATACTGATAAACCTAAATGACAATTTAGACACCTATTTGAAGTTACATTAAGCTTTACATTCATGAAAGACAAGTGGATAAACCACTTTTCTCAAAATGGTAAAGTTTTTACTACAACGTATAAAAAATGAATCGTTTTTACCTATATTTTGAAATGGAATATCTGCAAGCATTCATTTAACAGATTCACTGCTAGCTAGTCTGTATTATAGATTTGTTTCATTAAAATTCACAACAGTATAAATCCTTAAATGTATTTGTACTTGCTTGAAAAGACTTTACATTCTTTGTCAATATTAAATAGTTATGCAGAACAAGTGATCAGGACTTTTACACACCGAATTCTTTCCAGCAACCTTGATTGACAAATTAAGTAAATAAAAGTCTTCATATTTTGATGCAATAAATGTCACTGTCTAAGCAACTGAAAGTATATGTGAAAATTATTCGGTAAATCTGTGCAGTGAAAGTGTGGTTATTGTTATATAGTGATGCAACTCAAAATTAGTCAAAATTAAAAACCAGTTCATGCCTTCTGGCACAGATTTGCCTATTAAGAAAGAACATTTAAAATTCTTCTTTATACATGTTAAGATATATTTTGCCTAATATGTTTCTGGACATTATTTTTAAGTTATCCAAATTCTTATTTTCAGATTAATGTTATTTTTGTGATCCTTACAGACATTAATGAAGTTCCTATTGTAAATCTATAAAGAATTACCAACTGAAGTGTGCACTTTTTGTTTCAATGCAATAACTCAGTGCTGTGTGATTGCCTGGGTTAATGATGAAAAAGTCAAATATACTATCAGAGCTGATGGAAAAATCTATCACCAATCTGAAATTAAAATTCATCTGTGGTCAATAAGATTTAATATCCATGCAAGTGGCGCTGTAAAGAGTAAATGAATCAATGTCATCAATACATAATCAGTATGAAATATGATGTGAATAAAATTATGTGCAAGAGTCATACATTCACTCTCTTCTGGACCAGTGTGGAATGAACAGTCTCTTAACTGAAGGTTGACAGTAATTGTTACAAATTAGGCACAGCCGTTATCAAAATGCACTCACTTGCATAGCTATAGGACTTATTAAGGAGATTAAAATAGATCTAAAACTATCCAGTTCTAGAGTACAGGACAACTGTTGATCAGAATTTTCCCCATTGCTACTATGATTTGTAGACTCTATTTATTTATTTGGCTATGGTCTAAGAGCTACCATGCTATGGATAGAGCACAGAGATACACAACCTCTAGCGGAGCTACAAGCATTATGAAGTGGTAAGAGAATAGAACCCTGGTTT